TAGCTTTTTGCCTTTTTATTATCTGGTATTAATTTTTTTTGTTTTATTTTTACAAAAGGTTGTCATGAAAATATCTCTAATTTGGTATAAAAAACTAAGGCTATAAAAAGTATTAAATCATGATTATTTACTTGGTAAAGTTTACGTTCTAAAAAATTGAGTTTTTAAAGTTCAAATGGTTCCGATATTTTATATAATCTCGTTTTGTTAATTTAAAAAATAAAAAACGAGCTTAATTTAATGAAAAATGAATATAACCCGTTTAAGTAAAAGCAATTAATCACTACATAATTGTTGATACTTTTATCCTTTGTTTGGTTGCGGATAACTAATCCCAGAATTAATAATTAGTCCTGAGACAAGTTATTCCTATTTTTGAGTGGAATAGTAATATCGGGATAATTTTTTCCAGTATAAAATAGACAAAATGACAAAAATATTCCTTTAAACTCTTTTTATACCTCACTTTTTATGTCTATGTATATTCACATTATTTCTAATATCATGTATAATAATATTCACAACTTTCACTATTCCTTAATTTTGTGATTATTCTTCATATTTTTTCATTAAAAAACACTATATAAATATAATTTTTATTTATGAATTTATTTCCCAATTCTTATGTTTATTTATTTTGATTTCTCTACTACCAATTACATATTTTTAATTATATATTTTTTACGAACTTAAAAAAATTGTGTTTTATTTATTAATTGAAATGAGAGAGAAAACGAAATGCTACAATATTGCATACAAGCTTCCTATGCAGTCTAATTAGTCTAATATGTTAATTTCAGTTAGAATTCCTATTGTTAGTTCACATAAAATTTTGAAGGAAATAGTAACATGAAATATGATTAAAAAAAAGATAATTTTAGTATTTTACAATTTACGAGTGATATGTGTTTAAATGAATAAGTTATTTTATATTTTAACAAATTTAAGATAGAAAATTTTATTCTTAAATACATATGGTATAATTATGGGAATGCATACACAAAAATATTTAAGCTAAATAAGATTAAAAAATTTACTTTTAAGAATGAATAACTAAAGCTTGCAAAGTAAAAAACTAAACAAAATGAAAGGTATTTTTGTAAACAAACAACTTATCCTTAGAATTTATGTAATGCATATTATTTTGAATGCAACCAATCAAACAGTCAATAAGAAATAATCGCATCATAATTAATCCCACCATAACTTATCTTAATGTAACTTATTTTATCGTAACTACTCTCATCATAACTTATATTCAAACCAAACTACCCCTGTTTATTTTCCTTTCAATTGATAGCTTCTATCTTTGTTGCATTTCTCATTTTTCGTAAGGAAAAATTGTTGCAACAAAAGGATTCACAAACTATTTAAAATGATTTCAAATTTAATTAAAAAGATGCATGATCTATTTAATACTATAATAAATATTAATCTCATTTTATTTGACATATTAATTTTTTCATTGTTCGCAAGATAATACTAGATTAGTAAATTTATTAAAAAGATGTGTGTAGAGAGCAGAAGAGACTTGAAAATATCAAATATATTTAAATATTTTGGTAGAATATTCATGGTTCAATTTTCAATATCAACTTAAAATGATTTTACAAATATATAGACGTTGCTTGACAAACAACTGATGATCGTCATGCCTGTTCCCGAGACTGAATAGATTCTGTTGTCGTTTCTAAAGCTTTAACGTCAGTTTTTTACAATTTAGTCGATTCTCTGTACTGTCAGATAGCACGTGAACTTCTTTTATTTCAGACAACTGAAAAGTCCCCACTCAATGTTATTATTATATAACTCTTTAATGTATTTCTTATATTTTATCAGCATCGTTTTTATATCAAAATTGGGTTACACTCTCGTTGTGTTTTTGTAATCCATTTTGTGTTTTTGATTAGCACAAATTTAATTTCTTAGTGCTCTTTGTTACTATTTTATAATTAATTACTATTTAAGGGAACATGTTGAATCTATCTTCAAATATAAGAATATTTTTATTATTTTCTCTCACATTTTAGGTAGAAATTTTACCAAATTCAATTAAAGTTACTTTTTTGTTATATATAAAGCGAAGTTAAATAATATTTTTATGTAAAAGAAAAGATTCAGTAATAGCTTTTGATTATTAGCACTAGTTCTTTACTGATCTATGATGTTATTCCATGGTTAATACTTAATAACATTATATGTTTCTTTTTAGTTTTCGCCTTATAGGTGTTAGATAAAAGTCTTTAATAATGTTTGGAAAAAAACTTGTGTCGATTTAATATAAGAAAAATTGTGTTCAAATGCTTTAAAATACGACATTGAGAGGGAAAAATAAGGTTAATCCTAATTTTCTTACAAACCAACAAAAAATTATGATTATTTACTTGATAAAGTTCGTTGTCTCAAAATTGAGTTTTTGAATTTCAAATGGTTCCTAAATTAAAAAATAGGATTTATTTTCATATATATATATTATGAGTATACGTAGCCTTGGAAATTTGAAAGTATTAAGCATTTTGATGGAATAATCAAATAAACCACTAAAATTATCACTTTTCTTTTGGGTGACTAACATAAGAAATGATCCTGATAAAATAATTTCATCCAAGGTCTCAATTTTTCTTTCAATTTCAGTACTTGTTACACAAACGATAAAAAATAAATCAAATAAAAATCACAATAAAATAAATAAAGATGAAATTTTATAAGAAAGACTTCAATTACAATCGTTATTTCGCTCGAGCACATGACATTTCTATTATTCTTACATAATTCATTCGAGGATTCAATCAATTGGATAAAAAATGCTAATTATAATAAACTTAATAGATTATATGTGCTTAGAATAATATAATAGAGAAGAAAATGAGCATACTCTCAAATTTAAGGGATCATTTGAATTATAATATCCTAAAAGAGACCCCTTCTTTTTTTTAAAAAAAAAAAAAACAATACTGATTTATTTACAATTTTCCCTTTTTCATGGTTTCATGGCTTTTTCATAAATTTTCTTTTATTTACAATTATTTTTTATATAAAAAATAATAATTTGCATGGATACAGCTATGAAATTGAACACTTGGAAGAACTTTTCACATTGCCAAAATGAATCCAAACAAAATGCTCCTTCGTCGCCATTCCTACTTTTATTGTTTTTATTATTTACTCCTTACTGAAAAAATAAAATAAAATTATTTACTCCTGCATTTGAAATAAGTGTCGTTTCAGCTCTTTTTATGCGTATTAAGAAAAAGAAATAAATATAACATATTATTTACTAAAGTTATCTTTATTTATTAGTACTTAGTAGTGTTAAGAATTGAGTATTAATAATTAGAAGTTATTCCTTAACATAAGAGTATAGTTGAAAATAATTCCTTTCTCAATTATTTATTTACTATATTAAATATGGATATTCGCTTTTACTGATGCAATTTAAAAAAATTAAAAAATAATTTATCATTTAATTTTTAATTTACCTTTGTTATTAACTGTGGTTATTTTTTAAAATATTGAATTATTATATTAAAAAATGATATAGTAAATTGTCATTTTTATTTAGGTCACTTTTATATATTGGTCCTTTTGGACAAATAAAAATGGACGGAAGGAGCCGTCTTCACTAAGTTCACTTTTACTTATTTAGTATTTCAAAAATAGATTTTTCACTTGTCATTTTTGATAAATTTAGAAAATATAATTATATTTTTTTAAATTTTTATCTTCAATATTAATTATTTATTTTTCAAATTATTTCTCAAGACTTAAGATAATCATATTAATCATTGTTTTTAAGACATGCAAGGTCCAAAATGAACAAGTAAAAATAAATAAAGAAAATAACCACTTTGTTCAGTTTTACTTGTCCAATATTTTAAATATAGATTTATTTTTTTACTTTTATTTATCACTTTCAACCTATTAAGAAAAGACAATTATTTGTTCTCATATTTTATCCTTAACATTAATTACTAATTATTCAAATTATTTTTTAAAATTTATTCTTAAATATCAATTAAGAGAGATACTATAGTAAAACAACCATGACAATCAACGTGTGTCAAGTCTAAATATGACAAAAAAAATGTATGAACATAATATTAATTATAGTCTTAAATTTCTAAATGACAGTATTAATTTCAGAACAATTTGTATTTTTGACTAATATTACACTTATTTTGGCACGTAAAAAGCACTCAACAATTTGTTTTTTTGACTAAAACGACACTTATTTTGGCACGAAGAAAATACCACCCCACAGTGTGGTTTGCCTCGTAATTGATAACAAAAACCAACTCCATTTTTATTTAACTTTTCACCATTAAAACCACCATCTCCCTTCTGCCCCTTCACAGTTCACACCACGCGTCCCTCTCTTTCTCTATATGTAGAACAAGACATAATTCTTCACTGACAATCCCACAAGTTTAAACTCAAATGTAAAAAATAAAAAAAATAAAAATTATTTTATTTTATTTTATTTTTATTAAAAAAAGATTCCCATGGAGAAAGTTAGTGAAAAAAAAGGCCAATTGGCATAATAGCATCATGGCCTCTGAACCGAAAGTCTGAACTTACATTTGTCCAAGTGTTAAAAACAATTAACTCAAGTTTAATTAACCAAAGTTAATTAATTACCCCGTACCCCCTACTGACCCCTCTACCCTCAAGTTATAGTGGGTGGGTGGGTGTTGGTCATCTTATAAACTCCATTTTACCCCAAATGCAATTCTTGTATTTCTTCTCGGTCTCTGCTTAATTTGGTAAACCACTTTGGTTTACCAGAAAAGCAAATAACAAGAGTGAAAGAAAGAAAAGAAAACGAACCTTATTTTCTTCTTCTTCTTCTTCTTAATTCAGCACACCAACCTAATCTCTATTTCCGCCTCCATTTCTCCTAAAAATTCTAGAAATTGAAAACCCAGAACATCCACATTGCCATTTTTATCAATTGACAAATTTATTCTCGGGGTTCTTTTTTCCTGGGCAAAAATAAATAAATGAAGAAATCTCCATCTTTTTCTTGCTCCTCTTCTTCTTCATCATCTTCATGCATTGAACAAATCCATGAAGAAACAGAGAAGCTAAACCTGAAGCCGAAACCAAAGCCCAGGCTGAAACGTGCTAGCCGAGCTAAGAAAATTGTAAATGCTGATTCACCAAGTAATAATTCATCTACAGCTAGAAGAAGCTCCATTTACAGAGGCGTAACCAGGTTTTTTTATTTTTTTATTTTTTTTTGCTTAAACCCAATTAAATTATATTCACAGAGTAACACTGACACATTCAAGATGTTCTAAGAGAAACCCAGAAATCAAAATTGGATTTTTTGATTGCATGCATGAAGAAATGTGTGATTAAAAAAATTAATTTTTTTTTTGCAGGCATAGATGGACAGGAAGGTATGAAGCTCACTTATGGGACAAGAGTACTTGGAATAGCATTCAGAACAAGAAAGGAAGACAAAGTGAATAATACTCTCATCTCTTTTTACTTTTTATTTAATAAGTGGATTCAAAAAAATTAAATTTACAAATCAAGATCTACAGTAATATTATTATACTACTCGTAATTAATGTTAATTTAATCAATTTTTTACTGACTCTGTTCTTTGTTGGTGATGATCCCCTCTCTCTCTCTGACTGCCTCTTTGCTGCTTAGTTTATTTGGGTAAGCTCTAAATCTCTACCAAATGTCCTAGTAGTATTTTTGCACGATGTACAACACCTTTTATGCACAAAAAAATATTTTACTATTTGATTGACTAAATTAATTGCTAATTATTAAAATTATCATTTAAAATTTTCGAATATGCAGGAGCTTATGATAGTGAAGAAGCTGCTGCTAGAACTTATGATCTTGCTGCCCTTAAGTATTGGGGACCAACAACTATACTTAATTTTCCGGTACTTAAATTCTTACTCTGTCCATCTCAATTTATGTGATGCACTTTAACTTGTCATAGAATTAGTCAGAATATTTGTGTGATTATAAATCATTTTATTAACCAAAAAAATAAGTACTTTTATGTCAAACCAAAAAAAGGAAGCGGTGTTTCTTTTTAGGGATTTTGTCTGTGTTGGAGGAAAAAAGGGAGAAAAATGACAAAAAAATAACTGTAAAAGAGTACAAGACATGAAACGTGACGTACAACGAAACAATGCAGGTGGAAAGATATAGCCAAGAGTTTGAAGAAATGCAGAGGCTAACAAAGGAAGAGTACTTAGCTTCATTAAGGAGAATGAGCAGTGGATTTTCAAGAGGTGTTTCCAAATATCGTGGCGTAGCAAGGTATTTTATTTAATTAATTTTATAAAAATTAGTATATACTAAATTTAATTAGTATCAATAAATAAATGTATTAAAGCGCATTTAATTAGACAAAAAAAGACAAAAGACATGCAAATTTAATTTAAAAAATTATTATTTTTATATTTGCAAGGCAGGTACATTATTGGAAGTCAAACAAATTTTGTGGATTTTCATGACTGTATGGGACCCACTGGGACATAGTTTTAGTGGGTCCCATTTGGATTCACTGTCTATTTGTGGGATGAGTAGAGTTAATGTGTAATACTTATTTAGGAAAATAAAATGTGATTATATTCAACAAAAAAAAAAAAGTTAATCACGAAAATATTAGTAGTTCAGTTTGTTGATTATCTGAATTCATCAACTCGTTATATTTTGATATTGACAGGCACCACCATAATGGTCGATGGGAGGCGCGAATTGGACGGGTCTATGGAAATAAGTATCTCTATTTGGGAACTTACAGTATGCCTCTTAACTTTATATTCTCATTAATTGAGTTTTATTTAGATTTTCGAGTACTGGTTTGTTGATTTTAGTCGTTCTAGGAATTCATAAATTTAAAATTCTAAATTCGTATTGGTACGAATTTTTTTTCAATGTAGGAGATTCGGTACTTGGGAAAAGATTTAACACTTTTACGTGTCTAATATAAATGTATAATAGATATAAATAGGATTAAAGCTGACATGGCACATGATCATTGGTGTTTTATATATTATTTACTGAAGATCAAAGTTGAAAGGCTCATGTGGTCCAAAAATTAAAATATTTGATGCAGATCTTTGTGGACCGTACATAAAGTTAGACTTTCTGTTCCCAACTTTATAAAAATTGAAAATATTCCCCTATAGTTATTTTTAGTGGGTTTAGTCCTAACCCATTTTTTGTTATGTGCTAAATTTATGTTTGAAATTATAATCACTTCCTATGTTAAGTAAATATAATATGGCCTTAAATCATACGGGGGCACCTTTTAAGTTTAATTAGAGAACTGAATTGAGCTAATTTTGAATGATATGTAGATGCTATGTACTTTGGTTAAGTGTGAGGTATTAATTAGTAAGAGATTTGAATAGTGATTAAGATAAGTAATTATCTTAATTTTCTTTGATGTGACTGTATTAGATCTTGGCTCGTGACATTGTCAGAGCCTTGATTCATGCTTAATGGGGTGAATAATTTATGTTTAATCTCAGTAGACAATCATGCCTTTGGATTGATGCATAGTGTCTTGTCATCCTCATCTCCAACTATTACACTCACTAGACAACCCTTTGTTTTTTAGTATAATCATTTTGTATTCAGAACTCACTAGTCTGACTAGTGCCCACACTAGGATTTTCTTCATTTTCAATGCTCTAACGCAAGACCTTATTCATATCACCACAATCCTTCGAGAAACATGTAATGTACATTGATGGGTTGAACAAGTAGTAATATAGTAATTCAAAAAGAGTTTTAAGTTTGTCACTACTGGTACTTGGGTTGTATTCAGAATGTAAGTAGTAATATAGTCCCAACTTACTTGCGATTGAGGCATAATTTGTTGCTTTATATGAACGAGTAAGTGCAATCTAGAGCATTTATATTGTCGCGTTCACTTTGGTTAATAACGATTTGTTTCCTTATTAGTTGTTACTGATATATTAGACTATGAAGCTAGTTCAATTGGTGCATTTTGTGATCTTGTAAAGTAGTTCAAAACTATGTTGCTCGGACTCTTCAATGATGTATCCGTGTCGTCAGATCCTTCAAGAATGCACTACTCTTGGAGGATCTGACATGCACCTCTCGGTATGTTTGAAGGGTCCGAGAAACATAGGTTCAAACTAGGTCTTGTATAGTTGAGTGCAGTAACATTATCTGAATTGAACAAACAAATTTCTCGAAATCCTTGTATTTTACTTCTCTCTTTACTGAAGGCACTCAAGAGGAAGCAGCTGCAGCATATGATATGGCAGCAATTGAGTACAGAGGGCCTAATGCAGTCACCAACTTCGACATCAGCAGATATGCAGACCATTTGAAGAAACTCCGCGAACCAGATCTGTTAACAAAGGAGGAAAACACAGAGTCCTCTGCTGAAGTTCAATCAAATGAGGTGATAGAACAGTATCAACCGGTTCAACAAGAAGAAAACCAATTGGATTATCAGCTAGCGGAATTAGCTGCAGAACCAACAGTAGTACCAAAGTTGGAGTTTACGCCTGCACTTGATTCTGATGAAGTGACTCAACCAAAAGTTCTGAAGTTGGAGTTTGCTCCTTCATTGGAGTCTGCTGCTGATATAATGAAGGAGAAGGATCACGAGGCGGAAGAGGACTACCCGTGGATGAACATGTACTTGGACAACACATTTGATTCGCTCCCAGTTTCCGACTTCTCTCTTGAAAAACCAGCAGACTTGATGGATCTTTTCAATGACAACAGCTTTGACAACAACATTGACTTCAATTTCTATGAGCAATCAAGTGAGAATGAGTTCAACCTGAATGTATTCTCCGACAGCATGATCATCGATGGGATTGAAGCTGATAATGAGGAAGTAAGGAACAATCTGTCCATTTCACCTACCTCATCATCATCCATGTCAAGAACAACATCCATTTCCAACGACATGAAAGACGATGGAGGTTTGGCATCTTCGACGATGTAAGATGTTTGGAGTAAGAACTCAGCTTGGTGTTAACTGTTAAGTATATTATAAGTTTGATAGGAAACCTTCCTCCTAGTTTTAGTTGCTTTTTAATCTTTCCTAGATAATATAGAGACACAAGCAGAAGGCCTTGTGACTCCTTTTTTCAATTAGTTTCACCAAATATGAACTCCTGCAGTTTAGCTGAAATGTTGCTTAGCAAACTTTTTTGGTTTCAGTTGCATTTGCCTGTTGTGATATCCCCAGCTACACTTGCTTTTCTGCTATATTGCTCGGCTTTTTCAAAAATGTTGCCGTATTCGTATTTAATTCTCCAAAAATATAGTACTATTTTTGAAGGATTCGATACACAGCCAACGACATATTTGAAGAGTTCGAGTAACATAACCTTTTTGTGCATTGCTAATGTTCTTTGTTAGTCACCATATTGCATTATTGATACTCCATCCGTCCCAAAATAAGTGTCATTTTAATAACAAAAAAAAATTCTAAATTAAGTGTGACCGTAGAAATTCAAGATAAAATCAATAAGTGTCATCATATTGCATTAACTAAATTAGAAGTCTCATAAATTATTAAAAGAAGAAAAAAACTAAAAGGAGGCTGCACTTCAATATAATTATCGAGAGTAAGAGCTATAGTCTGTTTTTAATACTCAATAGCTTGATATAATCAAAAGCTTATGCAGTTTCAAAATCTCTCTATTGAATAACATATTTTTAATTTTTCCGATTAAAATAAGTAAAGCTCAATTCCTTCTAATAGAATTATATTTGAGATTTTCTCACCTCATACGTCTCAATTGCAATCACATTATTAGTAAATAATTCAATCAATGTGAAACATTCCTTTTTTTTGGTAGTTAAATGGTTTATAAGAAATAAAAAGTGAAGTTTAAGGGTTAAAATAGAAGGTACACTTTCTATTTTAATTTATTTGTCTTATTTTAATTTAACATGAAATTTAAGTAGATAAAAAAATAATTTTGAATATTGTGGTTTTAAATTGAAGGTAGTGAAAAGGGCATACACCACTGAATTTTGTTATTTAGAGTTGATATATCCTCGTTATGAATTTGGCTCATATATACCCCCTGTTGTTGTACAAACGGCTCACGTATACTCTTTTCCTCTAACGGAAGTGTAAAAATTAATTTTAATTTAATTTTTAACTATTTAAAAAATATATATAATCCATATGGGGTATATATGATCTTCCTCACATGTATTTTTTTGACCTTTTTATTTGAAAGACTAATTTAAAGTTATTATTCTGATGGTCAAGTCTTTTTATGTTTCACTAATTTTCTTGCAAAATTTATTATAGACGCCTTTTTTTTTACAAATACAAAAACTAAATTATAATATAGCCGCAAAAAAAATAGTTTTAAATTATGATATAGCCGCAAAAAAAAATAGTTTTATTTTTTTTCTTACATTAAAGAATGAAAGAAAAAAATAAAATAAGAATAAGAAACTCAAATATGATAATCAATGATGTCAAAAAATAATTTATGAATGAAAAAGATTAAAATATACTACCTTGAACTTTGCTAGAAGGATCATATAGAGCCCTACATACATTTAAAAAAAAAAGAGTCAAAAAATCAAATTTAAATCAATTTTTTTTCACTTTCGTTAGATGAAGGGTATATGTGAGCTCCTTTTGTAACTGTTGGGGTATATGAGCCATTTTTATAACGGTGACGGTATTTATAAGTCCCTTCATAACAAGTAATATATCAGCTCTAAATGATCAAGTTGAAGGGTATATCAAACCCTTTCCCGTTAAAGGTATGCCAAATGTAGGGATGTTAGAGTTTGAACTTTGAATAAAATTCGATTCAAATTGGATACCCAAGCCAAATCAATTAAATAAATCAATTTTATTTGGATTTGATTCTACATTTTTAAAAATTGATTTATTGGTTTGGTTTTGATTTTGTTCAAAAATCCAAAGAAATAATGAACCGAACCAACAAATTATATATATTTTACTATCATACATACATAATATATCATTAATTTTATAAATAATTTATATATGTTTTCATTAAAATTTATTTATAAAAGCAAAAACGCTCAAGACGAGAGCATTTATTTTATTGCTTACATGTATATGAGTGTTATGATAATTTTTTGTAGGACTAGAAATGTCACTATCCATTCTTATTAGGCTAAAACAGTGAAATTTGAAGCTTGATGCACAATAAATTCAATGATCTAAAGTTTATTAATGTCCGTCGTTTTAGCTATTTTTCACTTTGAATGAATTTTTGTCTTTTCTCCCTTTTTTGTGTTAATTATTTCTTTTATTTTTGTGTATTAATAACCACATCAATAAATGTATACTATTATAATTGATTTGATTTAGTTTTAATAATTAAAAATTGATTTTAATTTTAACCAATAACCGACTTGTGTACGCCCCCTAGTCAAATATATCAATATTTTCTTGAATTTATTGTCTTAAATATGTAGTGTGAAATAATAAAATTAAAAAAAATTGCTAAAAAAGAAAAGAAAAAGGAAGACAAACTAGAAGGAAAAAATAGAACAAACTATATATCAAAAGGGAAAGAGTAATTAAGGAGTGTCAAGATTAAGATCAAATCAAAAGAAAAATAATTAGAAAGTGGAAAGAGAGCAGAGAGGCCCCTTCCTCTCCCCTCCCCCAGGCCCCCAGCAACGCCGGCGCCGCCGGAGCTGTGTTAGAGAGAGGTAACAGTAGTATGAGTAACATTCTGGTCTAATGAAGAATCATGGAAGCTTTTGCTACATACTGTTTGTTCGAACTCAGAACTGAATTTCAGGTTTATATTCTTCCTAATTTGCATTCACTTTCTAAACTTTTACCCTAATTACATAGTTTGTATCTACTCTCAACCCAATTTGCTAACAATTTTTGTTCTTGAGCAACGGAACTCGGATGATCTCAGTGCTTGTGCTGACCTCGGGAAGAAATGACTAGTATTTTTTCTGTTTGTGGGATTTGAACCTGAGATTCATGATTCTCACCATGTTTATTTTTCTGAATGTTTCTGTTGAAACTTGAAGACATTGCTATGTTCAAAACTGTATGGTTTGGGCTCTAATTTTTAGGTTACTTCTGGACATTTACTCTTTGATTCTTCTTCTCCTTGAAAGTACATAACAAACTGTACACTGATATGGAGCAATTCTCTTTAACAATGAGCCACCTCCCACCAGCAACATGTAACTCTGTCAACCAAGGTTACGACGGATGGGAAGAAATCACCTAATAAATTTTGGTCTGCTCGGTCAAGTTAAGCACTAGGTGGTGGTCACGGCTTGATAAAAAATTGGGCGGCGACAATTTGAGTAATTCCTCTGACTTTCAAACAAAACATTCACAAACTTTCTTCCTACATTTTTCATAATATTATAAGTATATGGGTACCGGATCTCTCTTGTGAATACTAGATTTCCAATCACTATTCTAGAGAACATTTAAGCCAGGTGAAGGATGTCACTTTGTGTGGCACTTTGATTCTCTAGATTTGCTTCCAAGGCCATTTGAAGTCTTGATTATCACTAACACTTGTCTGCTTATATCCTTCCTTCACCCTATTCTAGAAAATACTTATGCTCTTCTTTTTCTTCATGGAATTAGAGTTTGGGTATTGACTCCTTCCTCTGAGCATTGAATTCCCTTATCCCAAATATGTTTTATTTTCCTCTTTTTCTTAATTATCAGAGTTCGATACTATATCCCTCCTTAAAATATTGAACTTTTTTTATACTATTCTGGGGAGTCTTCTTCTCTCTATGGTATTAGAATTTATGTACGAAGTCCCTCCTCCGAAGCCTAAATGCTTGAGTTTTGATTATTCTGGTAACCTTTTCAGCTGCTTTTCACCTGCCAATGAAGGCAACATGCTGGGAGATTTGTATCACCTTTCTGCTTTCTGGTGACTGGGAATATATAATGTTTTAAACAATATTATTTTTCTTGTATTTATCGTAAACATCATTTGATATGCATTTCCATTTAAAAATTTGAGTAAGGAGTATGGCTGATTGGCCGTGTGTATAAAACTGGAGTGTTGTCTTATTCTTTATATTTATTATTATAAAATATTGAGTCACTGGTTACCTTGTTCCAGTTCATATGATTTTAAGGCCTCCTATTGTTTGTTTCTTTTCATAAGAGATGGCAAGATGACGTTTTGACCAAGAAGAAAAAGATTGATTTGTCAATGTCAGTTCCCCAGCAAGATGAATATCGAAGTAATTGACATAGAAGGGCAGAAGAGGAAAAAAAGTGGGGAAAGAGCTGTTGAACCAAATCGGAATCCCAAACAGGGTTTGCCGGACAATTTTACTGAAAAAGACTCTATCATTGAGGTTGATGATGGGGAAGAGAAGCCTTATGTGGGGATGGAGTTTCAAACAGAAGAAGCAGCAAAGAATTTTTTTGACGCATATGCTAGGCGTGTGGGCTTTAGCATACATGTTGGTCAGTACAGCCGCGCTAAGCCTGATGGACCTATCATTAGTTGGGACTTCTCTTGTTCTAAAGAAGTTTGCAGAAGGAAGAATACAGAGAGTTGCAATGCTATGCTTCGCATAGAGAGGAAGAGTTCAGATGGTTGGGTTGTGACTAAATTCGTTGAGGATCACAATCATTCAATAGTGAATCCCAGCAAGGTGCATTACCTCCGACCTCGTAAACACTTTGCTGGTGCTTCCAAGACTGTTGGAGAGATACCGGGAGCTCAAACTGATATTCTGGTTCCACCGGTTGTGGTTCCGGTGGACGGGAGTCATGTATTTGTCAGTTCTAATGAAGGTGTTAAGGATGCTTCTCCTGTGGAGTCAAATTGTGTGACCAAAAACTTTAGCCCTGTCATACCAATAATGTTTATTCAGCCTTGCAGCCGAAAGAGAACTCTTGGAAGAGATGCCCATAATCTTCTTGACTATTTCAAAAAAATGCAAGCGGAAAATCCTGGTTTCTACTATGCTATTCAACTTGATGATGAAAACCGCATGACAAATGCTTTTTGGGCTGATGCAAGATCAAGGATAGCTTATAGTCACTTTGGCGATGCTGTTATTTTTGATACAATGTATAGACCAAATCAATTCCAGGTTCCTTTTGCTCCATTCACTGGAGTAAATCATCATGGGCAAATGGTTTTGTTTGGCTGTGGATTACTCTTAGATGAGTCTGAGTCTTCCTTTACTTGGCTTTTCCGGACCTGGCTATCTTCAATGAATAACCGCCCGCCAGTTTCTATTACAACCGACCAGGATAGAGCTATTAAGGCAGCAGTCAACCTAGTATTACCAGGTACTCGTCATTGCATCTGTAAGTGGCATATCTTACGAGAAGGGCAGGAAAGATTGGCTCACATATATATGACTCATCCTTCCTTTTATGGGGAGCTATATAGCTGCATCAACTATTCTGAGACAATTGAGGATTTCGAATCATCTTGGGCCTCTGTACTTGATAAATATGATCTGGGGAAAAATGAGTGGCTTCAAGCTGTATATAATGCTCGCGACCAGTGGGCTCCAGTATATTTTCGAGATACTTTCTTTGCTGCACTTCCCTCAAACCAGGGTGTAACCTCCTTTTTTGATGGATATGTTAATCAACAGACAACTCTACCAATGTTCTTTAAGCAGTATGAAAGAGCTGTAGAAAGTTCACTTGAAAGGGAAATGGCATCTGATTTTGATACAAATTGCACCGCACCAATGCTAAGGACCCCATCTCCAATGGAACAGCAAACAGCTAATCTCTTCACCAAAAAAGTTTTTGCAAAGTTTCAAGAGGAACTAGTTGAAACTTTTGCCCACACTGCCAATAAGATAGATGGTGATGAGACTCTAAGCAAATTTAGGGTTGCAAAATATGACCAGGATGACAAGGCTTACATTGTTATGTTGAACCTTGCCCAGATGAAAGCAAGTTGCAGCTGTCAGATGTTTGAGTATTCAGGCATCTTATGTAGGCACATTTTAACAGTTTTCACAGTGACTAATGTTCTCACAGTTCCATCTCTTTATATACTTAAGAGGTGGACAAGGAATGCAAAACTTGGACAAGGATCGGATGAAGAAGACATTGTTAAACAAGGAAATAATTCACTCACTTCACGTTTCAACCACCTATGTCTGGAAGCTTTAAGATATGCAGAAGAAGGGGCAGTTTCTGCAGAGACCTTTGATGCAGCGGTTAGTGCTCTGAGAGACGGCTTGAGGAAGATTTCTATTGTTGCAAAAAATGTTGGCAAACCTCTTAGCTCACAGGGAAGTGGAAGTACTCAGGATGGGGGCATAAAAAAAACTCCAGCTACTTCTGATACCGTACCATCTTTATGGCCTTGGCAAGATACAATGCCTCATCATTTTAATCTAAATGATGGTGGTTTAGCTGCTGGTGACTTAAATCAGCCCACTATGACACCTGTGGCTATAAATCATGATGGTGGTCTTGCTGATAATGTGGTATGAAAACAAAAACTTGCCTCTTCTGTAACTTGTATATAACTACGGTTTTTTCCATTTATGATTTGTATTTGAATATACAGTACAAGAAAATACATGAATTTACCATGCAGATGAATTAATATGTTTTTTCTCCTTTGCGTATTTTGTTTGATGTAGGTTGTTTATACTTGTTTTAAGTCTATGACATGGGTGATTGAAAACAAGAGTCCTGCAAGTAAAGTGTCTGTCATCAATTTGAAGGTGTGTATACCTGTTTTGAAAAAAGATTCTCCTCTTGAGTCACACTCTGGCTGTTTACAGATAAACAGTTGAGTTGATTTTTCTTCCTCCCTTGACAAATAAATTTGATGAGATAGTAATTTCCATTGTGAAATTTTATTTGGACATATTCGACCCGATTTTCAGTTGCAAGATTATGGCAAGAACCCAGCTGGGGAAACAGAAGTTCAGTTTAGACTTACAAGAGTCACTCTGGAGCCAATGCTGAAATCCATGGCTTACATAAGTCAACAGCTTTTCCTGCCGGCAAATAGAGTAGCTGTTATTAATTTAAAGGTATGCATCGTGAACTTCAAGAATTATTTCCTATTTCAGAATCTCATTAGATGAGTGAGGAGCAGTTGAATGGTTGCTTTCTGCTTCACATAATCTTAGATATATTACTTCAAGTTTGGCAGAGTTGGAGCAAAGCAAGTTCATTCAATATGCACATTCTGATTAGTTACACTGGAGGCATTCCGAAGACACTCTTAATATTAACATTAGTATATCAAATGAGCTTTAATATGTTTTTTTATTCCTGTAAATTTAATCACTTGAGCCAATTTGTGTAATTGTTAAATTTACTGCAATTGCTTCTGGAAGCTTTGCTGTTCTGAATTTTCTTCTCTAGTCGATGGATGATGCCATTTTTCTATCAAGGGAAAGAGTGTTTCTTTCTTTTGATGATTTGACGATTCTATCACCTGGCACCTGCCTATTTATTCAATATACCAGTGAATATACCAAAATTATCACGTGAAAGAAAAGGCCTCTGTCCCTTCTCTCTTCTTCCCTTTCATATTCTGGGTATAGTTTTTGTGGTGTATAATCATCTCTTTATATTCAGGTGGAAAACACGCCATGTATGTTTTTTGATGAAGTAAGTTGTTTCATTACCGGCATCAAGAAGATGCAAAGAGTACAAAAGTAGATATGCTAGCTCCATTACATGATAGCAGTTAAGACATGGGAGCCAGCCACAAATTCAAAAAATCTAGAGGAGACTTAAACATGACTATGTCTGGTCTAGAGTTAAAGAGCTAACAAAATCTAAGAAAGCAGTAGAACTATTCACATAAGACTGGTTGGACCAACAAAATAGACTGAACAAACATTTAGCTTTGAGTGAATGGTTAGGAGTTGAAATTCCATCAAAACACCGACATTCCTTTCTGTCCATAGGCACCAAAAAATACATGCTGGAATCATTCTCCAGGTGTTCCTGATGGCCCTATCAACTCTTCAGTGGCCCCAACTCACAACAACTTCTCTGATAGTTTGAGGCATCACCCAGTTCAAACTGAAAAGGGAAAGGAACACAAAAAAACACGCCATGCATGTTGATGAAACACTCTGCCTGGCTCTGCTATTTAATTCCCTGATTTGACTCTCTAAAGTGTCATTCATGACAGCTGAAATATAAAGAGATAATAGATCCGTATGAAGTATTAGATAGAAAAATTGATCATCTTGATTGTCGACCAGCCTTGAATCTCATTTCACCTTGTCAATTGAGAGGATAAATGTCAGTTGAATGCAATGATGTACTGTCCTTTAAGTTGCGAACTGATAGTTTTTGTCCTTTTCTGTCACAGCTTCAAGATACTAAGACACCTTCTGGAGAGACTGAAGTGAAATTTCAAGTTTCAAGGGATACACTAGGATCAATGTTGAGATCGATGGCTTACATTCGTGAACAACTTTGAGTAGGTGAATACTGCTTCTCTTGTTATTCTTTTCATAAGAAGTAGAAGCATCAAATGATTTATTTGAGATGTGAAAAGCAATTGAAATAAATTTTAAGTGTCACCTGAATAGTGTTATATATTTTGTGTTGATATATATCTTGCATACATCAACCTTTAATGATTCTATACCTCTTGTTTAAATTTGTAAGCTTGCTCCGTTTCTGATGTTTTTCTAAAGAGGTAGTCTCTGTAGCAGAGTTGGAAAAAGTACATAGGATCCATGTGAGTCGAACAAGAATAAGTAAATGCACATTGGATCTGAGTCACTCTGATGAATCAGCAGCATTCTTTTGAGAGATAAGGATGAGATTTTTACGAAGTTAATAATTATAATTATTTGATGGGAAGAACCTCACATACGAGCTGTATACAAGAAGAGCAGAGATTTTGTACAAAAACATGATTCTTTGCAAAGGGCATTGTATCATCAATACAGGAATACTATACGTGCTCCAAAAGTGTCAAGAAAATGAAAGAGTTCACACTACTTTATCCAAAAATGAAAGAGTTCATACTAATACAAATGCCTTTTCATTTCTTTCTCTATGGTTTAAAGAGGTGTCAAAGGAACTATTCCCTTTCTCTTCTCCATATTTTAGCATCCACTTAGCATATCTCTAATCCATTGGATCTGAACACATTTCACACTACACACTAATATGCAATTGGAGAGTGAAGCAACAATTAGTTGACTCTTAAAGCAATCTACCATGAATAACAAATGCATCACAAAGTAAAGACAAAAAAAGTAAAGTTGACTCTTAAAGCAATAATTAAACCTTTAAAAGTAACTAATTTCCAAGTCAAAGACAAATATGTCAATAGTTCCTATCAACAAATGCTTTGTGTGGTGCAAAAAATAAAAACATACGAGTGTCTCAGAGACAGTTTCTTTTAAATAAACATCCTGGCGAACTTCAATGTCCTAATGTTACAATTAGTTGTAGTTATAATTTGTTACATAATTTTAAATAAGGATTTTTTTTATATAAAGTAGAATCTGAATTGATTTTATAGTGTCAAGTATTAAGACTTCTTGCATGGTTCAAATAAGGAAAGATTTGATAACCAAAATTTAGTTGATTTCTAAGTCCTAAATATTAGGAAAATAATTAAATTACAATCACTAAATATTATGAGAATAATTAAAGACTATTTTATCTAGTGTGAAATTAATTTTTAAATGATAAAAAAGGACCTTTGTGCTTTTAATATAGTATAGATATAGATAGATGTCTACTATTCTTTTATCACCAAATCTCATCGTATCATCTTCGCTTTTATTTCTTTACTCCACATATTCAATTCTGTGGTGTATCTGTTATTCTATTAGTGACACTAACTTTGTGGTGGAACTTTTTATTTACCTGGTAGAGTTATCATCTTAATTTTCTGCAGAATCCTCTTTGTTCGACAAAGAGAAAGAAAGCGCAAAAGACTGAAGTTTGGCTTCTTGGGGTAAATAAATGTTCTTTCTTTAATCCTTTCCTTTTTCTTGGGCACGCAAAAGGACTTCAGGAACATCTATTACAGCATCATGATTTGGCTATCCTTTGATTGGATAAGGTCTACGGTAAGTCAGAGAAGAAAACCATCCAAAAGACCAAATTGGAGATATTGGAAGATTGATAGACTTCTTTTCCCTACATCTCTTTTGTTAGTTGCTCATCATTTTGATGTATTTCCTCTCCAGATTGCTGAATTGTTGGCTGCGCTGCTCATCATCATATAAGGTGTTGTCGTTGATGTATGACAATAATGAGTCTTTTGCCACATATTATGTAGGAACCTTGTAAATTGCTTCTGGAGTCCGAGAGAATACATATTCACAGCTGTAGTTATCTCTAGCAGGCAGCCAGCCAGCCACTCAGTTTGTTCTATTTTCGATTAGCACTTATTCTAACTATTCCATGTAGTTGACCCAACATACCATGTAATTGTATGCTGAAAAATTAGTTGTACATGTCTGTAAGGAGGACCCAGCAAAGAATGTTAATCATCTTAGGTTAGTAGTAGTTTGCTTCATTGATAGGTAACTTATCATTTTTTTTCTTAACCAAAAAAAAATCTGTCATTTTTTCTCTTCTTTAGGATGGTACAAGTGTGTAATCTATTATTCGTATTCCTGGGTAAGCTGCCTGTGTTAATACTTAATACTATTCCCACGAGAACGTTTGAGGGATATATCTCTTATCGTTATTTTCTTCTTTGTTCCCGTTTTATTTCCTTCTTTCCTTCGTTCTTTAATGTTTTGTCGGAGACGAAAGAGGCTGAAATACATGAAGCAGGTTGGGGTTGAATTTCAGTTGTTGGTGGAGGTTTAACTTATGATATGTAAGACTCGTCAGTTTCAACCTTGTTATCTGAGGGGAATCTCGATTTACCTACCTTAATGTTAATTTTAGCACCTGTTTGATTTGATCTTGTTCTGTATATAATCATCAAATGGTCATATGTATAATTGTTTGGTTTGGTATAAAAGCTGGGTGATTTACTTGATCCCCGAGGGTCTATCAGAACAGTCTCTCTACCTTCATAAGATAAGGGTAAGGTTGTGCACACACCACTCTTCTCAGACCTTACTTGTGGGATTACGTAAAGTTTAAGCTGGCTTTTGGCTGGATGAACAATGAAGTATCAGTGTCATGGGATGTGTAAAGTTTAAGCTGGCTTTTGGCTGGATGAACAATGAAGTATCAGTGTCATGGGATGTGGCAACTATTTGTAGTATATGTATTTAAGAATTATTTACATTTATATCTTTTATTGTTGTATGAACTATAAGATAAGACTCTAATATTTCAAAGTGGCATGGAAGATCTATTTGTTTATTTATTTATTTATTAAGTTCATAATATCCATACTCTTATACAATGAACCAAATTTATCATGACAAATACATTAATTACTAGCCCATTGCTCATTTCTTTCATTCAACTTAAAATGGTTAGTTATTTACAAAGTATCCCTTGGGTTTTCTCGTTCCCTTGTGGACTTTTAATTAATTCTTTACTAAATTTAATTATTACGATTAACTATTCAAGTTATTATCCAAGAAATGATAATAATTACGTATCTACTATTCAAGTTGCATGTTTGTCCTTAAAATGGATTGGTTTTCAATTTTTGTTCTTTAGAAATTGAAGTCATGTTCGGACATGATTTATAGGATATTATGATACAAAAATATAAACAAGTTGATGACTCTCGAGAGTTCTTATCGATGGAGTCGTTTGACACTTCAATGTCGACTCATCACATCTTATGGTTGAAGAAGGTCCCAAGGATTTGATTGTTCACCGATTTAAGAGGTACGTGAGTTAGGTTTAGAACGTCGTGAGACAGTTTAGTTCCTATCTACGGATGGTGTTAAAGAGAAAAATGCGAGGAGCCAACCCTAGTACGAGAGGATTGGATTAAGTTATCCTGTGGTGTACCAGTTGTTATGTCAATAGCAAAGCTGAACAACTAAGTTGGTATGGCAGAACTATTGTCTCATGGAAAATCCTTCTTCTGTAGAAGTTCTCGAACAAAGTTTTTGAACAAACTTCCATAGGTGGAGGAATCTATTGGCATAATGCACGCTGGAACATGGAAATTCAAGGTCTCATGAACTATTACTGAAAACCATGCTCTACGAAAAAATTGTTTGTTATAAGGTCTAAATTAAAGAACAAACAACATATGGACAAAAAGTGTAAGCGACTCCTTTTTCTAGGCCCAACACTTTTGGTTCTAAGACAGGCCCATCTCAGTCAAAGTTCCTTTTATTATATGGGCTGGCCCGCCCCCTGGACCCATGGGCTCAATATTTTACGCCTTATCGGTCGGATTTATCGGCAACGGCTACTTCTTTTTACTCTCTTCAACGGCTATTTGTATTGCAGCAGTTTTATGTTTCTCTGTTTCACTTTTCTCACATCATCTCTCTGTCGTTTTTTTTTTTAATTTGTCAAAATCCCTCATTGACCTCGCCGGAGAAGGACGGATAGTCAGTTACTCCAATTTCCATCTGAAATTTTTTCAGTTTTCCGGAATTTCTTCTTCGGCGACCAATTTCATCGTTGAAACTTCTTCTATACACTGCAAATCAGAACTGTAAGTTCTTTTTTTTTTCGTCTCCAGAATAGAATAGAAGTATCTGAACAGAGTTCTTATTTGTTGTTCTTGATTTCTATGTGCCGATCTGCATTTTCTTTTGCTACTGATTTGATTATGACTCCGCTGTTGTGTAATGGGCATGCTAATTACGTACTGGTAATCAGTAATTACAACATATCCTGTGTAATTCTACTAGTGGAGTCTGGGGAGGATCGGATGTACTCGACCTTACCCCTGCCGTTGTTTGGGGAGAAAGAAAAGGCAAGAAAACAGTAGAATTGTATACCTTCTGCAGTAGGGTTTCATTTTCTAATTATCTCAGATCTAGTTATTTGAAGTCAATCAATTTATGTTGCATTGCAAAGTTATCTATCTAAATTTGCCTTAAAGGCTAGTTTGTTGAAGCTTGACAACTGTAGTATCATTTTTCAACTTTTGGGCGTTCCTTAATCCATGTACCATTTATGTAGCAACTTGTCATTAGTCTGCGGTGATCATCTTGCATATCAACTGCTTCTTTTGGTTGCTGCTGTTTAGTACATTTTGGTGCTTTGGTCGTTAATATCTTAATATCTCAATAAGATGTATTTCGTATTTTCACTTTTCTTAATTTTTGTGAGCAAGCAGCATCATATGTATGATCTGTTGATATATTTGTTCATGTTATAGTATATATTGATGATTACAATTTTTTCAATAGGATCAAGTTGCTTCAGCTAAACAGCAGTAATGTCCACTGTTCAAAGAAGGCAGCAAACTGTAGATGTTCCGAAGGAAAATGGAGGTGCTAGAGTACAGCAACAACAACTCCCAGATGTTATGCAGTCAAGGGGTGGTAAGATGTCCTCCAGGCCTGACACCCCTTCAGTGACAGGTACTGCTAGGATTATCCCATCTAGATATAGGCAAACTCCTCAGTCTGTACTCCGTTCTAGTTCAACGAGTAATCCTGGATATGCATCGGTTAGTGCTGCTGCTAAACTGTTGCAGGAGGTTACGGGTACTCCTATAAAAAATCCTTGTGCAGTGTCCTGTGGTGATGGAGCAATTGTCCATAAAAAGTTCTCGAAAGTTTCAACAAGCAATGCTGCAGATGGCTGTGCTGTTGCTACTGAGAGCACTTCATGCCCGAATTCTCCAGTCTGCACTCAGAGAAAGCAGCAGCACATTAAAGTTCCCAAGGACAATGGAGGCACCAGAGCACTTCAACAACAACTTGCAGATGCTTTGCAGTCAAAAAGTAGTAAGATCCCCTCAAGACTTGACACACCTACCGTGACTGGTGCTTCTAGGGTTGTTCCATCTAGATATAAGTTCACTCCTCAGTCTTTGAACCGTCACTGTCCAACCAATACTCCTGGAGGAGCAATCAGTGCGGCTGATAAACTATTGCGGGAGATTACTGCTACACCTATAAATCCTTGTTCGGTGTCGCAGGATGATGGAGCATTAATCTCCAGAAAGCTTTCAAAAGTTTCAACTAGTCCTTATGTGGATTCTTGTGCCACTGGTACTGCTACTACTAAGGGAAGTTCATGCCCGAGTTCTCCACTTTGCACTCAAAACAATAAGACGCGGATGTTATCAGCAATGAGGTCTTCTATGTCCGAGATTGATAGATGTCTTACGGAGAGAAATAGAGACAGTTCAGTTGATGAATGCAGTTCATATAAATCTGCATCTTCTACTTGCGCTCGTTCACTGCATTTGCCAACAGCCAATAACGAAAACTCCTCCTCTTGGCTGTCTCTTAAACAAAATGACATGTTTGCTTCTAGATCATCTTTCAAAATGGGGAGCCTTTGCTTGCCTCCACATCCAACTTCCAATAAATTGGGAGCAGATGCTAGGAAAGGAAGGAAGGCATTCAGTGATCAGGGAGATGTGCATTCACTGAAGTTACTCTACAACCATCACCTTCAATGGCGATTTGCAAATGCCAAAGCAGAGGCCTCCATGCACTCCCAAAGACATGATAGCCAGAGCAAACTTTATTCCTTTGCACAACAGCTATCAGATCTACGCAAATCTGTAAGCCAGAAACGCGCCGAACTTGGGGTTTTGAGAAGGATCAAAACTTTATCTACTATTCTTGAATCACAATTACCATGTCTTGGTGAATGGGCTAACCTGGAAGAGGATTACTCAACTTCTCTGTCAGGTACAACTGATGCCTTGCGCAATTGCTCTCTGAGACTTCCTATTGGCACGGAAGTTCATGTTGATGTAAGAGAGTTAGGAGATGCTCTTAGTTCATCTACAAAGGTGATGGAAATGATCGGTTTGCAAATTCAGAACTTTATGCAAAAGGCAGAAGAAACAGAAAGTTTAATTTCTGAACTAGCTAGGGTGAGTGGTGGAGAGAAAGCTCTTGTCGAGGAATGTGGGGATTTATTAATGAAGACATATATCTCAGAGGTGACAGAATGGAGTTTAAGGGGACAGATGATTCAAATGCATCAGAATAACCGTTATCAAGTTCAGAAAGAATGATGATTCTTGTCACTGTTGTGGAAAACTATTCGCTCTTGTCAAGCTAATAAGGGGGAGGGCGTTCCATCGGAATCTTAAAGTATATCATTTGCAACTGCGGGAATATTTGAGATGATCTGCAATATCAATTTTTTCCATGAGTTTCGTTTGTATAACAAGTAAGAATCTTTGTCAACAACATTGTAAATTTGCTGCAACTCACGAGGTGTTTTTTTCTCATATATCCATTATTGTCTCCATACAAAATCTGTCTACGACGTTGGGTGGTAACTAAACATAGATTAGAAATGATAAGGGCAGAACTGTTGGAAATTTTTGAAAGAAAACTTGCTAACTAAAAGAACACAATACCTATTCTGAAGGGCAAACTTCCCACTTTCTCTTTGTTCTCCATTCCTAAAAGGGTTGGAAAAGAGAATTGACAAGGAGAGGAGTATGTATGGCTATGGAACAAATAAGAAGAACT